CACATTAAAACAATAAGGAGAGCGCCACTCTCTGATCTCACGAATGAAGCAGAAAAGGGATCAGCAACAAGGACAGCACACTTTATGCTGACATGTTTTTGTGCTGGTTCATGGACTGGACAATGGCTTTGTAATGCAGCCATCAAGTTATGGCCACTGGTGAAGGATAATGGGTATTACCTAAGGCCTGTAGAAGCTTAGTTTTATTACACTTAACTATGTATTTCCTTAGGTTCCGTATAGGACATAGAATGCCAAACTAGCAAAACGTTTGTTCTGGTTTAAGACAACCATTCTAGAATGTGTACCTTTGCATTTTATTGAGCATCCTTTCACTTCAATAAAGCCCCTTATAAGTAGCTGAAGGCTATTCCCTCAAACTCAGCTACACAATCTCAGTGGAATAGCAATGCCACCTAGTGGCTAATTATAATAAAAGCTGCTGACTGAAGAGCAGGGATAAGGTAATTTGATTTTCATCTTTAAAACAAAGTAAAGAAAACCCATGACTGACAAGCACATTCCAATCAAGAGCTAAAAAAAGAGCAGTATTTTTGCCTGCATGCTAAAGTATAAACAAATCAATAACATTATAGTTATGTGAACTCAGGCCCTTTCTTTAGTTTATGATTCAATGTATCATATAACTACAAGAATTTAGGCTCACCGTAAAGCATAGTTGAGTTAACCATGAGTAAGCATGTTGTATAGACCCAGTTTCTGAATACTAATACAGGTAGTCCTTGATATACAGTGGCAAGTGAGACTGGAATTGCTGTCCCTAAGCGATGCAATAGTAAAACACGATGTCATGTGACTGCCACTTAAAAAAAAAAAATTATTAAAAAAAATTCAAAGATAAAAGATAAACCTGAAATAATATAAAGAAAGATTAAAGAAAAGAAAAAGAAAAAAGAGTGATATGAAGTGAAAAAGTAAGAAAAGTGTGAAAGGAAATACAAATGGAAGAAAGAAAAGAAAGGAAAAGATATATAAAGAAGTGACTTCCGATATTCTTTATAGCAGTTACAAACAAACTTATCCTTTCTCCTCTCTCATTAAAATTACATCATTATTCTCTTCTTCCTGTAATCAACCCTTTTTAATCAGCAAATCCATAAATCACCAGTTCATTTTTTTCCATTTTCAGCAAAAAGTCAGGAGGTGAGGATTTTCAGAAATGTGAAGGCTAGTTCACCAGATAAACAACCAAGTCAAACCAAGGGCTGCATTGTTTAATAGCCTGCAGGGCCACAGAGTATAGCAGTAATACTGTAAAGTTCCTTGGAGGGCTTTTGAAGGTTTGGGAGGAAATTAAATGAAATAGGTATTTAAATCTATTTGGGTTTAACAATGTTTTTTTCTTTTTTACAGAGAAATACAGAAAACTGTGGATTCTGGGAAAGCATCAGGGGAAGTGGAGTGGAGGTACAAGTCTTGTAACATGCAAATGATTTAAACCTCAAAACACAAAGTGCAAAGTTCAAATAATACATACATATTATATTTAAAAATCCCAATTTTTTAATGAAAGAAAATGAATATCCACACATCTGCACTTATGTACAATGTTGTGATATATAATCATTTTAAGCTGCTTATAAATTGTTTTAAGCTGTTTACGAATCACCTTTAGTGCTTCAAATAACACATAATGTTGACATATTTTTGGCAGAAATAAATATATTGCACTTAAAAAGAAATGTTTTTTGTTAGGTGTTGCTTTCTAATTTATGTACTTGACTCCTTTTTTCATAAAACATTTGCCATTATCTTCCATATACATACAGACACACATCATTACATGGTGAATGTGCTCACACAATTAATTAAAACAATTTAACACAGCAATCAAGAGACTGGTAATACATTCTGTTAAGAGAGACCATCTCCAGTTTCCATATACTGAAAATCTTTCCTCATATTTCTGGTGCTACAGTAAGAAACTAAATGCTAATTTAAAATATGTCAGAGATAAAATACAGCAATCTGTATTTTGTGTCTAAATTCCTTTAAAAGAAGTTATTAATAAACGCATGTATTGATTTAAATCATTGCTTAGTATAAAAAAATTCAAACCCTGACACTTTTAACCAAAACCTGAAATAATTTTATTACTATCAAAATACACATCTTCCCCATTAAGAAATGGGAAAATACCAAAACCGTATTTTCTGCAACAAATGAGCAACAAAAAACAAAGAATCTGACTTCACAATAAAAGCAAGCTGCAATAATTTAAACAAAACTGTTTTCAAACACATTAATCCTAATTCAATATTTTCAGCGTTGTCTATACAGATGTCTATACAGATCCTGGTTGAGCAGTGGGTGTATAAGAAATTAATTTGGGGAAATACTCAGCACACAGAGTGTGAGGAAAACACATGGAACATTCTGTAACATTGACAAAAAGGCAGTTCAACTCTACATTCCAACCATAAAACTGCAAAAATGGCAAAATTAATTTGACTAATATTTAGCCTTTATCTAGCCTAAATCTAGCATAAATTAAGTACACTAGAGTTATTTAACTTAGCAGAGACTCACCAATATGGCTTTCCATTGCCTTCAACCATTGAATTACCATTACCATTTCCACAGATTTCCAAACAGTTCAAACACAGGAATGTTCAATCCACAGCAAAACCATATAACTCACCATCTTTTAGAGCAGCCAGAAAGGAATGGTGGAATGCCTGAACAAAAACACTGTAAGGATGGACTCAACCTATGAAGTGCTGATCTTATTCTCTCAAAATTAAAACCTTTTATTTTCTCTGCCAAAGGTAAAGGGAAAGCATTTTAAAAATTATGAATACTGTAATTAGAATTAAAACTTATTCCAGAGCCAGTATAGACCATCATTCATGGTCAAGGTGGCTAAAAGTCACAAGGTGCATTGTCTCTGCATAATGATATCAATGAAGATGGAGCAGAATTTTAGGCCCCTTTTGTTATTTTGGAGAAGTGGAGTTTAATTAAATAGGGAAGGGTTAAATCTAACTTAATGCATCTATATTTCTTTTTTTGTCACCAAACAATGGAAAATTGTGCTGCCATTAATCACTGTTTTGCTGCTGAATTTCAGAGACATGATCTTTGCAGCCTCAGAAAAGGGCTTGGGAGGATGGGTTGCCCATTCTTCCTGTCCTAAAGATCGCTGGAGAAATGTAATAGAATTATGAGTCAGGAACTCCATTCCCATCAGCTTGATTTCCCACCTGCCCCAACTCTGCTTTTGGGCTAGAGGATTAGAGAAACAAATAAAGCATCAAGGGCCTGAATGGAAGAAAGCTTTGATTTAGGAGACTCTGTTGGCCTTTGATACTCTTCAGTTTAAAATATTACAATTCTGAGGTAAAGGAATATAAAGGAAACCTGATGGGTTGATCTCAGCTTCCTGCTTTCTGTAAAATCATCAAAGCATTGACTAGAAATACCATCTAGCAGTGAGGAAGAGGCCTACTATTCTATTAAACTGCCAATAAGAGGTCTTATTAAGGATCACCTTTTGAAAGCACTAACCTTTGCTTCTCTATTTGGTAGGGTTCTTTTTCACTGTTACCTTAATAATCATTAATAGTCAAAATGAGCAAGTGACTTCTCACTTAAAATTAGAGCTGGCCAAAGGGCCCTTCAAAATTTCTCTTTAAATTTTTTGGCAAGGAAATTGGATGGACAATTTCTTCAGCAGAAAAAGAAATGTTCCAACCACTTTCTCCAACTCATTATCATCTTTAAGATGCAGACCTGTCACAACTCCAACCTGTTGGGTTGGAAAGCAAAGAGAGCAAACATCCTCTCATTTTCCCGGCTACTCCTACAGGTTTAGTTTACAATTTGCTCAGACACAGAGGGCATGGTGGGGAGTTAGTCTTCCAGCCAAAAAACAAAGGACAGGAGACAAGGATACAAATGTACATTCCTCCCAAAATGGAGGGGAAAACCTCTTTCAGAGCACCTGGAGTTTGGGGCTGCTCACTATGAGTTGCTGCCAGATTACAGGCAATGACATCAGGTGCAGGTCAGGTAGGTGAATAGCCCCCATGTGTAACAGCCCTCAGAAGCACTACTTCCGCAAAAGCCCAATGGGAAGAAATTCCTTGTGATGGCTTCCCTGATGCTTTAATTGAAGACTGGGAAGCCAGGAAGGCTGCAGACTGGCTGAAAGACGATACAGTGAAAGTCAAGATATTCATACATCTTCATTGACTGCCTCATAACTAAGAGCAATTCCATACTGCAACTTAAGTTGCTTGTCTCCCATAGATAACAGTGGATTGGCAATGCGGCCTGGCTGGTGTTCAGTCTGGATTATGGTCACCACAACACCTGATTATTTGTTCCCCTGCTTCCCATCCATGTAGGGAAGGCAAATCTGCAGAGACCAGGCTATTAGCGTCTGCCTTTTGTTCCCTCTTTACTAGTCTCTGTGCCATTATTTTCCTCCCCAGATATTTGTACACATGGATGCCTTCATTTCCCTTTCCCACATTATCTCTTTTGATGCTAGCATAGATCCTTTCTTTTTTTAAATTTTCCCTTGTGATACTATCATAGCTCTAATGCTACAATAATCAAAGCAATAGGTACAGGATTTTCTTTCATTCCTACATTCATCTGTAGGTCCATGGAAGTTTTGCAGCAAGGAAGAACTGATCATTCATCTTTATAGAAACAAAGTACCAATGTTCTTACATTGCAACTTCAAATCACAAAAAAAAAAAGGAAGGGAAGGGAAGGGAAGGGAAGGGAAGGGAAGGGAAGGGAAGGGAAGGGAAGGGAAGGGAGGGGTAGGGGAGGGAAGGGGGGGGAAGGTTAGGGGGGAGTGG